TAGCTCGTGAATGCGGGCCTTAAAGCTTTTGAAAAGCGATAAGTTATCTTCGCATCATTCTACTGTGCAACGTAATCCTCTTTACGAGGATCACTATACACCCCATCAAATGCCGCCAAAAGCGTACGTCATGGAGAATGCGGTGCATTGAAAGCTCGCGACGAAGCGTCCCCAGCCGTGTTCGTCAGGCGCGTGTTAGTATATACTAGTACAGTTTAAATTACTTCCATCAGTGGCTCTTTCATTAAGCAGCTGCGAAGAAGACGTGTGCTACGGAAGCGGCTAACAACATCCACATCTGTGACGGGAAGCACAAGAGACAGAGACAGAAATACACGTTGAAAAGTCTGGGATGTGCTAACGCTATAGGACAGGCCCCCCTTTTTCTGTCTCTCGTTCTGTTTCCCCGTTTAGTTCACGCTGAAGAAGCGAGAAAAACAAACTTCCTGTACTTTTACTACCAACTTGTGTCTGTTTTGTTTTTCTTTTTCAGCTCTTTCGCACACTTTCAAGTAACCGGTTCGTGCACGTTCAGGTTGTTTCAGCCCTGCTGGAAATTTTGAAAGCACGACTAAGTTTCCGAGCGCCACCGGAGAAGGAAGCCTTTGTTGGCTCCGCTAACAGCAGCGGCGGATAAAAATGTCTCATCTGTACACTCGTCCTGCACGCTATACCCTGAGGAAAACCCTCTTGTTGCTCGAACCGTACGAAGCAATAGTCTTGCAACGAGGCCTCGTTGACATGCCATATTAGCGCACGTGGACGAGAACAGACGCAAGATACATGAACTAACACATCGTTGTATGAACACGCAAATGCGTCGAAAGTTGGGGTGGATCTACTTGCGAGATATATGCAGTCAGTTGCTGCGCCCAGTTACCTCTTTTCAGGCTATGTTGTAAAAGTGATCATTCCTTGCAGGCGACCAAGAAGGCGCGCACAGAGCGACACAAAAGGAACGCGTTATAACTTCGTTATAACAAATAATACATTATATCCGTATTCGTTATATCGAGGTTTGAATTGTGCAGTACTTAACGCTGCAATGCCAGGAAGAAAATTGCGCCAATATCACTTTTTTTTTTAATCAGTGGCGCCTCGCATAGACTTGTTCAATTTTCCCAACACCGTGATTGTTAATATAGACATGAGCGCCACGCCTGGTCCTTTGCCTAGTCCTTCCGAATCTCTAACAAATACCGCACATCCCATTTACACTAGCACTACTATTCGAAGCAACTTACCGCGTTATACCCGCATTACCGTTCCACCATGATTAAGAAGCGGCATTGCAAAAGTCAGATGATTTATCACACCAGTGCACGTAACGAAGGAGACGGCGAAAACAACAAGACGCGGGTGAGAAGAGCACTTCGCGCGTTAGCCGCGTGAAACCAGGCCCTCGAAGCAACCGTCGCTAACGCAAGCGTTGTGGACACGGGAGCTGCAGGCACTGCGCAACACAAACTAGTCGAGAGTCTCCCGCAGCAGCGACGCTGTAGTCTCAGTCACGGCGTGCGTCCCCTCTCTCCTTTGTGTAATGTCGACGTGGGTCACACGGGGATTGTGTTGACACTGCGAGCTTGCACTGTCACTGCAAGCGACAGGTTGCACAGCTCAATATAACGTAATCTGAACGTTTGTTAATTAATAATAACTATAATAAGAAGAATAAGTGTAGGAGACTTACGTTTCAAAACCATAACACGATTATGAGGGATGCCTTTGTGATCACCTAAAGTTCTGTGAGGTGCACCTAAAGCCAAATGTACAGTACGGTCAACTGTTAAAGAGAACACTCGAATGCACACCATAAATATTCCTGGCCCTCCTAGAGCAAGTAGATAAGAAAACAATCTTCAAGCACGTCAGTAGTCTGTCAAGAGGAGTCGGAACTTTCAACCAACAGTATAGTCTTAAGCATATCTTATCCTCTATGCTTCCGTAAGATAGCGAAATCTAAGCATGCTTATCACGCAGCTGTTCCCTTTAACAGTGGACCCGTCCGTACATGAGCCTCCAGCCCTTCGCCTACATGGAAATGCGATTGCTGCGTCCGGTATAGGAGGGTATTCACGTGACGTCATCACGCGCCATTTTGATGTACAATTTGCAGTTTCCAGCTGTTCTTAGGATCAGCAGATTAAGATAAGAAAGCTTTTTTTTTTTTTTGCTTTTGTTATTAAAAGGGGCACTATACTGAAACATTATATCTGTTCAGACGGATAAATTATTCTTCCGGAATTCCATCACGAGTAATCTCACCATCACAGGTATTAGAAGAGAAAATGGATGTCGAAGTTCGATAACATCAAGATCGCTGATAAAAGCGCTAAACAAACGGCTCGTAAATATTTAGGGGCGCTTCACATTCAGTGGTTGTGCGAATTGTGCATTAGCGAACCGACATTACAGCTGTACTATTCGGAGACTATTTTAGTACATAATGCAGTCCGTAAACCAAGCTTTCTTGAGCGTTGGTTGCTCTGTTACCTAGGTTAGTGGTTTTAGGCGCATGCATGGCACTTTTTCAGTGCATATATTTTTGTGTACTCACACAAATAAATGTTCTTGTGCCACCCGAGTTGTCATCCTCGTCTTAGATAGATATGTGGGGTTTAACGTCCCAAAACCACTATATGACTATGAGAGACGCCGTAGTGGAGGGCTCCGGAAATTTAGACCACCTGGGGTTCTTTAACGTGCACCCAAATCTGAGCACACGGGCCTACAACATTTCCACCTCCATCGGAATGTCATCCTCGTCTTGTTTTGTGGACGAGTTTATTAGCGGCAAACTACATAGTCAGTACCTCATCAACTAGGTCAAGAACAAGTTCTCGAAGTTTCATGTTTGAATTTCGCGCCTAAACTTGCACGTAAACATCAGTGTGACGTCACTAATGTCGAAGCCTTTTCGCGTACTTTGGTCCCATTAGTTTATTAAATTCCCTGACTAGAACACTACGCAAACCATATTTAGTAACAAACGATCACGCAGACCCTAGCAGACGCCATCAAAATCTATATCGTCTCGGCGATCTGATGCGATAACTACAATACGGTATCCCCAGTGCATTTTACTTAGCCACGGCAGTAGTATCCCTAGAATGGGTGCACCAGTTAGATGCGATGACGAAAAGAAAACGCCTGTGACAAACTTTGTTGCCTCCGAAATATCTGCATCATTTCCTGGAGGTCGTAAACACTAAAACGATGCTTTGGAAAGTGGTATGCAGCAACTGTCGGTGAAGACGAACAAGGCGACGTTCCAGCTCCCTTGATCGTAGAAACATGCACACGACCGGACCTCCAAAGAACGGCCGGCTTTGTGGTCGTACTCCTCTCCCTCGCTGTTATGTCGATACCAAGAAACCATTAAATACACTAGGCTACGGCTCCCTTAGCCGTATCTTCCCATCAGGGCACGCCATTTCCACCCCAACCGGTTGCGCACAAGTGATACTACAAGGTTGAAACTCAAAGCGGGTGGTCGCCTCACTGAATCTGCAAAGCAACATTTCACATACAAACACGATTACTTTCCGAGTATCGACATATATGCAGCAAAAGTCACGGCGCGCCATCATGAAACATGGTCGAAAGAGAGATTCGGAACTCCCACGACGCCAACTGTGGAACTTCTACGCCCCACAAACAGCGCCTTTCGTAAGATGCACTTGGCATGGGCGGTCTCCGAAAGAATACAACGAATGTGCGAGCAGTTTGCAGTCTCCCGTCTGCACACGGCGTTGATGTCACAAAGACACCCGCTGATCGCGACAGGTGCAGTGTATCAAAACGATGCCACGATCCCACTAATGCCAGCGAACACCGCATACTGGCCGTTGGCTTGGCTGAACGCCAGCACAGCGAGGAGGAGGAAAGACGAGCCGTCCGGCGTGCGAAAGCGAAATGAACCCTCTCCGCCACCCTCACCGGCGAAAAAACGGTTGAAACAAAAACGTCCCGCGTGAATCAGGTGGCTATGCGATTCAGACGCCGGCTTGTTGTACACGCTTCGAGAAAGGTGCTCACGCGCTTTGCGCAAGCTGTTATCTTTTTTTGCCACGGTTCGTTTCTTCTTCTTCCTCGAAGACGAATCCCTAGGGCACGCGAGGAATGCTAATAAGCGTGCAGGCAGGCAGTCTATGCTACCGCAGGCGTTGACTTCTGAGTCGACAAATGCTTACCTGTACAGGAAGCGAGAGGGAAAACCGGCGAAGCTAAGAAAGAATGTTCACGCACGTTTTAGAAAACTGCCCATGATGTCACGTGCTTTTTTTTTCTTGTATTTTTTGAAGCGCGGCAAATAACTCAAGTAAACGTGTAATTTATGTAACCAACAAATGCGTGCCGTTGTAGTGGAGTGCCAACCCAAATTGCGTACTGTGTAAGATTTCCGGCGGGTAGCTGTATTCGTGAGGAAAATATACATTTGAAGGCCATCCGTCGTGATGTAATATAAAATTCTACTACGTCGCACGATCCACAAAGCCACGTCTGTGAAATAACGCATCAAAGTACGCGTCGCTTTAGAATAATGTCAAGAGAACCGTGCTCACGTATGTTTCACCTCATTTGAATATCGCGTGTCGTCGGTAGATATTAAACGGTAGATTTAAACACTTGGAAATTTACGTCGATGCCCAGGCAAGTGACGGTTCCCTCTTGGTTCTCGCCTGCAGTCGTTTCGAAGCGTTGAACGGAACCGTCAACAAGGCAAGAAGTCACCTTAGCGGAAAACAGTCGAGCGAAACACGTGACCGCTAGCTGGACTTTCGAACGGCGCATACGGCTACTTACGGCGATTTCAAAACATGCAGGCGGTAGGAATTCACTGTAGCGATTCATCGCTTCCTCAGAACCCCATTCACTACCTCAGAAACACCTGCCCGACAGAAGGTCCGCTTGCCGGCACACAACATTCCAATGCGCGCACAAATAGGGGATCTCCCTCGACAACAAGTACGCGATGACAACCCGCCGCCGGCTCTTACCTGGTGTTTGGGCCGGTCACCAAAGCGATAGACGATGCTGTCTCAGTCCAATGAATAATCCTCGAATGCGTAGTACATCCTCTGAGTTTACTCCAACTGCAATGATGTCGCGGTGGTCACATCGCAGAGCTTCGCACAAGCACACGGCAAAACAACACGGTGAGCACAAGCTGCAGGCGAACGTCGGTGACTTCGCGCACGCCTGCTCGACCAGCCAACCTTCTTTCGTTGCTCCGCGCCACTCTCTCCAAACTCGTTTTGAAAAACAGCCGCTCGGGGCGCTACAGCACTTAAAAGCAAAACGAAACTGCAATGTGATCTTGTTTCGGTTTCGAAACCACCGCGCACGAAGTTAGAACTGGAGGTTTCTGCGTGCGTTCGTTTTTTTTTTTTTTTTTTCAAAACACAATGACTAAGCAGCTTACAGTGGAAATAAAAAAAACTAAAGTGATTGCCGGAAAAAAGTGATTTGCCGGAACCATCAACTGTGCGTTCAGTGACAGAGGGCAATCAGTTATGATGTTGACAGGACACTATTCAATATATGGTTAATGCTATTTCTCTGCAAACCACGATACAGGACGTCGTGCAGCAAACAAACGATCATGACGTTGAAGTATTGCCTGATCAAATTATTATTTTTCAATGCTTTGTTCTTCATATTTTGCTAAAAACAAACAACGATCATGACGTGGCAACATAGCCTGATCACCCTTCTCCTGAAGTCCATGACGTGGCAGTTAATAATCATCGCACTCTTTCTAATATCCTGGTTCTTGAGGTGCTTGTAGCCGGACCCCATTAAAACCCCTGCAGAAATTTTTAATATAGTCTTTACTCACTCTTGATTTTTCGCTGAAAGTTAACAGCCATACATGATGCGGCCGTATTGAAAGATCATCGAAGCTTCTCAAAAATCTTAGTCTTTTTATATTTTCCTGAAAATGGCCATGAGGTACGTAGGTTATCAAATCACCGGACTCACTTTAAGAGATTCTGAAACATGTTTTGACAATGGTAAGAAAATGCTTGGCGATTAGTAGCTGACGCTCCTCAGTGCGTATGAGCCAAACACTACAGTGCAGCAGACGGACTGGAATTTACAATTAAATCTGAGAATCAACAAGAAGTCGTTCCATTTTCTCTGGACTAATGATGCCATAAACGTAAATGGCCATGCCACAAACAAAAGTCCACGGTCATATGCCGATTAGAGCATCGTGCGCTACATAGTCACCATAGCCACCGCGAGATGGCACTCGCTCGCTCACACGCAATTCCACAGGTCAAGCTGGCGGACTGGTCTGCTAGTGTTGCGGCCCTCTGGACCTCAACCTAGCCCCCGTCAAACTTGGTTTCCCCCATTTTGTCTACCCTTTCTGAATAATGAAGTTTATTCCTCCTCCTCGACTGAAAGCAGGGCCGCGCGTTCAAAGAGAAAAGAGGGCGATCTAGGTCAAGACGTGCGCGTGACGAAATTTCTTCGCCCCGTGCCATGCATCTCTGATTATCTTTCAACGAGCTCATCAGGAAAAGAGAAAGCTAGGGAGCCTACATAACCACCTGATCTAGGCTCCGTAAAGTAAGCACTCACAGCGCGCTGCGAATGCCCCTACCAACTCCGTTCGTACATGACGGATTGTAAAAGTTTTTGCCGCTGTCAATTCGTGAAGTAATAAACCCTTTAATGAAGCTTCTAGAAGAATACCTGGAAAAGTGTTTCAGGGCCCCTATTTCCACTTAGACCCTGTTTCAGGGTCTAAGTTGCCATTATTCACTGTCACTGAGACACACGGGAGCAAATTTCTCTATTTTGCACCCACACACCTGTCTTCGAGATACGATTGTTTTGTCAAGATGCTGAAGTTTTTGTATCGAGAACAAAGGGCTCGCAAGGGCTGAAGAAAACTGAAAAAATGGCAACTAGGTCTCCTCCTAAACAATATTCATTTCTAAAATGCCACTTACTTATCATGGCCAAAGAGATATGATTTCAAGCAACATGTTCAATATGGATAACATGAAGTTGGTTTCCAACTTAATTTAATGTACAATTACAATTTGGGAAGAATGTTTTAGAAGATCTATCGATGGCAGGTGCAGAATGTAAATGTTGTAAACTGTAAACCTGACGATGCCAGGTTTTTCCCAGCAATCTGTACAAGTGCTGAAAGAAGCGAAGTAACAAAAAATTGTGATCGGTGATTTTTTTTTTTTTTTTGCTAACACTCGAAGCATTTCACACATTGACCAAATATATGAATAGTCATGAGGTGCATGTACATTAAATATGCCAGAGGCAAAGGCATATTTAATGTACTCGAAATCCTCTCTGTCTAAAAAATTAAACAATTAACCTAAAGTGATGTTACATATAACTATTTGTTAGAGCAGAGGTTACAAGAACGCAATAGTTATGTATGGGACGCACGATGGCCCCAAGGGAGTAGAATGAATTCATAAAAGTGTCTTACTTGTATTGTGTGTAAGTATCACTTGCCAAACTTTTGCAGTATTGTCATTTCAAAATGTAACTACTGTATGCTTCCTTTTTGTTCTTAATTTTGGAAGCTTTTTCAGAATAAACCAACACAAAATTCTGAGTAGCTGGTGAAGAGATGGCAAAAAGGAGTCTCAAGAGTGTAACAGAAATTTTAAATCTATTTCACGTTTTTATAGCAGATGGCTAGTCAAGTACGGAAAATGTTCCTTAGTTTGGAAAGACTATTTTTACTGCACTGTTATATTGCGTTATATTTATCAACATTATTCAAAGTCAGCTGCACAACACAGTCATGCTGAACTTAATAACTGATTTGGATAACATTTGTAAAATTAGTCTATTAATTTCATTAACCTAATTTGTTCCATTCGCTTCACACTTTACAATTATGTATAAAGCTCAGTTTAGTACATGAGGTGACCTAAACGTCTTTGTTGTCGTTGACCTATTTCATACATTAGATTAGCTAGATTTGTATACATTTCCGGCAAAAACAGTCACATCATTAATATGTTGGGCCACTGGCATTAAGTTTTGTTTTCAACTCTTAGAAAAAACAGACAAATCGGCTTTGTCTCTGCACCGTGTTGTGCATCTGCTAAATAGCAGCGCATGATTCCCAGTGTGGTGTAAGCAGAAGCAAACCCATGCTGATGGAGAGAGTAAAAAGTGCTAGAAACTGGAATCTCCGAAAATATATTTTGGCTGTCTCCATTGAAAATGCAAGATAAATGGGTATAGACGGATTTGAAGCACCAGATGCAATACTTCCACACAACACAGATATCAAACCAATGTTATACTAATTAATTTGAGCTTAGTGATGTTAATTCAAACAACACAAGATCTTTTGTATAATATTTATTTGGTTTCTCAGAGCAATAAATAAGACAATCAAATACACAACCAATAGTGTCTAGAAAAAAACATGCCCAGTTTAGTATATGCCCAAAGAGAGAACCCTGTCGAAAAATTTGACGAAATGTTTCTTGCAGCCACATAATACCAAACAACGTGTGATCCGAAGCAAAAAGATCTAATGAGGCCAGTATAAAGCACAATCAAGAAAGCATGTGGTCACATGGTGCAAACAAATCTAGGCTGTGACTACTTGTCCACCACGTTGAAATACTGTATGAAATACCATCCAAGGCCCTTGCACAGGAAAATACATTAAAAATGTTCAAGGAATGGCATGACGTACTTTGGCATGTCTTCAGTAAGTGTTTAAAGGTCACAGGGTCTTTTGGGAGGTTCACAGATTACGAGGACATTTGAATAATTTGATCTTACTGAAATCACAGTTGTATGAACCAGACAGCAATGCTGAAGGTGAGTGGCTTTTGTGTAAATAAACTTGAAGATTACTGTAACCTACACTCGACTCCTATTATCGCCATGCACCAAAGTATTCAGATTTTCATGTTCAAAGTGTTATGAGCAAACAAGCTAGTGTTGTATCCTTTCCCTTCACGCAGGCACAAATGTGTGTGTGTGTGTTATTTTAAATAGGGCTATCCTGCAAAAGTAGCACATAAAATAAATGATGCTGACTGAAAAACAGGCCACTTTAGGCTGGATTGCTAGATAAAACTTCCTTCTTATAAAGTTTCGTTACATTTTTTAAAGGGACACTAAAGTAAAGGAGTGAATCAATTGAGACTAATTAATTATTCAATGAAAATTCTGTTGTAATTGATTTTACCATCACAAGTTATTAATAGAAGAGAAGAAATAAAGCTTGAAGTTTTATTTTTAAATTCCATGCCAAATTTCAGCAGAGCAGCATCATGTTGACATAACAAATTTGAGGATGTGCTTGGTTTTTGCATGTTGGTCATGTTGTCTCAGTAAGATACCATGAAACTTGGCAATTTAAGTTTTTGGCCCCATTACGGCCCTATTCACTTTATATTTAGAGATCAAATGCTATACAGGCCTTAGCAGATGCCAACAAAATCAATGTCACAGAGACTAGGTGTGGTAACTTCTAAGTGGCATCGTCACTAGCATATTCACATTTTCATTTTCTGCGATTCGTGAGATGCCAAGCATATTCTGAAAGCAGAAGCTGTGATTTTCGTATTGTGCCAAAGTAACCTACCCATCTGAGAAAACAAACAGTTTCCTCTTTAGTGTCCTTTTAAGCTAATAATCTGACATTTTGACATTGATGGTAGTGCTGAATGACTTATCTCAAATAGTTCGCATGAACCATCACACGTTAACTGTTACAGCACTAATCACTAATGACATAACTCTAGTTCTTTCATTCGATGTAACATACAGTGCTTTCACACTCCAGCCTTCACAAATGCCTTTCACACTTCAAGTACCACATGACCAGCTCAGCTACAAAGAATTTTTAACTCATATGCTCAACGCCTTCTAACGCCGCACATACTGACACATATTCCCTGTTATTTCTTATGGTCATTCTGACAGCACTGCCACTTCCTCAAACCTGGGCACGAAAAATTGGCGTTCCTTCCTCGCATGTCTTAAGGCATCTTCACATCGAGAGCGGATCTGGAAATCAGATGCAGATTATCCGCAACAGCATAACATCCACAACTGGTTGTCCGCATTGTGCCTAGACTGAATCATTCCGGGCAGAAAAGTTGGCCGCTTTAGCTGCAGCTAATCGGGTCCTGAAGCACGTGCGCGTGCATTATCACATAGGGCTGCTAGATGGTGGCACGTTTCTTTACATCTATGGCAGAACGAGAAGAAGGTAACATGGTCGGTCTAAACAGCTGCATGGCTTCTCTGCCTCTCCGCTTTGAAAATTTGCTTGACTGCTAGCATGCTCCGCATTCAGTGAGAAGAATCGAGTGTTGGGCACGTTGCTATTACAGTGTGGATGGCATATTGCGCAAAAGAACATGAACATCACAGAAGAAAGCGCCTGTCCATGCTCTATTCCTTTTTGTGCATGTTTTTTTTTTGTAACATCATATATGCCATCCACAATTCGGTGTGAACGTGCCTTCAGTTTCACATTCACACACCCTGCATCTTTCTACTCACATGCAGCGCAGCAAACATGAGACTATTCTCACTAACCTCCCTGGCTCCTTCTTCCTCTTTTTCTACCACTAAGTATAAGCCTCAGTATAAGCCCAAAGAAAACGATTACCATAGTGGAAAACACAAGGCAAATATCCAACAAGGAATCACAAAGCACCAATTTTGTTTGGTCTTTCTTGCCTTTGTTGTATTGCACCACTTTCTACTACGATAACGTATCAATAACTTCAAGTCCATATGCTTCAGAGATTTTCCTACTATCTATGGGTGCAAACATATGTTTTTATAATGAGTGGTCAAAGCTCTAGCTAACTTTTCAAATCATTACAGCGTGTTACAAAAGAATGCACAGCGTTACGAAACAATGCAACCGTTCAATGAAAGTCACCCAAGTAGGCATACTCCCACCACACTTGTGACAACGCAGCATCAGTTGTTTCAGAGTGAAATTGAAGAGAAGATGCTTGATCTTCACTTCTCTAACATTAAGCAACGGCACACACTTTTCTTCCTTTTCACCCCCATCGAAATGTTGCCGCCGCTGTGAAAAATACAATCAGTGCACTCGATCTTGGAGCCCATTTGGCCGTCACATTCGAAATGTACAGAAGACAGGAAGACAGTGCATATTTAACGCAAAGCACAGACTGCTTTCAGTGATGGGAATGCCTTCCAGCATTTCGGAGCAGCCATTGGAGACGGAAAAATCTGCTTCTAGAGCAGCTATTTCTGTGTTTGCAGCATGCACGAACTTTTCATGGTGCACACAGGAGAAAAAAATTTAGCTTTAATTTGGCTAAATGTTCCCTCACCTTACATATAATTTATACAGAAGCAGCATGCCCGCAATATAAGAACAAAAATAAACAAAAGTAGGATTTTGTAGAGAAGCGGTGAGATAAAATAGTGAACGATCGTCTAAATATATTTTTTACCTTGATCAGCGCTATCTAAATTTCGTCCATGAAGTGAAGGATGCCGCACAAAGCTAGCTGTAGCATGAAGTTTGTAGCAGTGCACACGTGTGTGCATTCAAAGCTCGTTCCACTAAAACAAATCACAATCAGCAGTCACAAATCAGCAGTTTAAAAAAGCTAAGTTGATCTCCACAGTTTGGAACAATGTCCCGTAAGGCCACACAAGAGACCTGAACGTCCGGAGGTAAAAATGTTTTGAGGCTTGTGTGAGCAGTCTGCTTCACCAGTCATTGGCTTCATCGTAGTTTGCCTTCAAGGTGCTCAAGAGGACGTCTCTCGTTTTTGGCCTGGGATCCTCTTCCAAGTCTGTTTCTACTGCACCTACTTCTGCGAGCATCCACTCAAGCTCTGGAAAATGTAGATAAGAGACGCAAAGTAGCTTATTTTAGAAAACACCTCAATGTTAACCCCTCGAAGCACTTTGTACACAATCGTGTAGACAGCCAGTCTATGTTACAGTTTATGTTAGTTCTAGATTTAGATACTGTCGTGATCCCACCGCTGATCACCAGTTGTAGTGATCCCGGGGTGCTGTGGTAGCGTGGTGTAGCTTCGGATTGAGGAAACGAGCGCTTACAAGATGGGGATACGAAAAAACAAACAGGTTTATGGCACTATTTACAAATATTTACAGCATGAGGTTAAGAGTTCACAAACCACGAGCGTGGTGGTTGAACCTTTACTTGGTTCAGAGCCTTCACAAACTATAAACGTGGTGGTTGAACCTTTGCTTGGTTCAGAGCGACGTCCTGCACTCTGCGGCGCCGTTATAAGCCCTGTCGGGCTCCTCCTCCTTCAGTGGAACACCAATCACACACACACACAACAGGTGAGGGGTACGAGCATGCACGGCGCACGTGAACATCCAATTTCGAGTCAAGATCACTGCACTTAAAGGTGGCGCCAGAGAGGCTCTTGCTCGTCGTGTATGTCGCTGGTCGAGGGGTCCCAAGCTTCGGACAGCAGACATCAAACGGTCCGCCAATCTGTCCGCTCAATTAGCAGGGCACTTTGTGGCGGCGGTCGCCGTTTCTTCAAAGGAATACGCTGTATTTGTTGTCCCCTCTGGAACGGCTTACCGCTTCGTGGCGACGTGACGTCTCATCCGCCGGCTAGCAGGGACAATACCTGGCGGGCATAGGCATTCGGCGAGTCGGCTACTTGTTTGAGGATTAAAAGAGCGCCGCTCCCCCGTCAGCTCTCGACGCTGGTTCCAAGAAAACCTGGGTTCCAGGCGTGGGAACGCGGCCCGGCTACGCTTTTCAGCGACAGCATGGCGCCTACCGATGGCGGTCATAACAGCTTCCCCTCGCCAGATGAGTCACGGAGGGCAGCGGTCAACACTGCTGCTCGCAGGGACGACGAAAGGGTCCGTAGTTGAATGCCAGAAACTGGCCTTCGCTTGTGGCATAATCCGGGTAATTGCCGAATCTTCGACACTGTTTCTGAAACTCGACCACATGCACAAGCAAGTACTCGGCCTCCTTCGAACAACCAAGCCAAAAGAGGGATGGCAAACCGATTTTCTTTACTAGCTTTAACAAAAAGCTCACACTCAAAACTCTCAGGATTCACTTGTGCTGAGAAATTAAACGTGCCATCTTAAACCTTCTCATAATAAGATGCACGACAAAAAAAAAAAAAAAAACTAAAATATCAATTTTGATACATAAAGAGCACCCCAGAATGGCTTAGAAAGAGCGGCTGAGCGCGTCAGCGTTTCCATTCAATTTGCCCTTTTTTTACGTAATGTCAAAATGATATTGCCACGTCCTATTTCCCAAGTTTTTGTTATCGTCCCAAAACACCACACGATTCTCAGCGCAAACCGCGCCTGCAGTTTTCGAGAGGGTTCCGGACTGTAGTAGATCATTTCGATAAGATCACGCCCACTGTGCGAATGGTACAGATTGTTCTGGAACGTACGCCGCCGCCAGCAATAGCGCTAGAACATTCGACGGCGGGAGTATAAATGCCGACGCGCTTCGCCGCTTGTCAGTTGTTGATCGAAGGCCGACGCTCCGTTCGCCGCTATCAGTCTGAGACTGCTATCTGTGCGAGACTGTTGCTGTAATTGGACTTTCTGTTTACCGGGCACAGGTTCACCCAAATAAACAGTTAAATCCCAACAAGAAGTCTCCTGTCTTCGGCCACGTCACGACCCCGTGACATTTGGTGGAGGTGCTGCTTCGTTCATGTACCGGACGCCCCCGTCAAGCCGTGAACCCAGCCCACGTCGCGGAGAAGACACCGACGCCAACCAGGAGCAGCGAACAAGCCGCCGACAGCAAGGGCTACCACCGGAGTACGGGCTTCTACACGACAAGCCGCGGAAGACCAAGGCCATGACTGCGACTGCAGCGACAATGACAACCGCAGCGTCCCAGCCCACGATGGTCATGCATCAACCCAGGGAACCACCAATTTTCCATGGGTCATCGTTCGAAGACCCGGAGTCCTGGCTAGAGACATACGACCGTGTGGCCGCCCTTAACCACTGGGACCATGACGAAAAGCTGCGTCGTGTGTTCTTCTATTTAGAAGACACCGCAAGGACCTGGCTCGAAAATCGGGAGTCCACGCTCCGAACGGGGGATGTTTTCTGCGGCGCATTCCTGCAAACGTTCGCGAGCGTCGCTCGAAAAGAGAGGGCCGCTGCTTTATTAGAGACCCGGGTTCAGCTACCAAATGAAAATGTCGCCATTTTCACAGAAGAAATGACCCGACTATTCCGTCACGCTGACCCAGACATGCCTGAGGAGAAAAAGTTCGTTTCCTCATGCGAGGGGTCAAACAGGAGCTCTTCGCGGGGCTGATAAGAAACCCACCGAAAACCGTCCAAGAATTTGTAGCCGAAGCGACCACTATTGAAAAGACCCTGGACATGCGCACCAGACAGTATAATCGTCGCCTGACTGCAGACTGCGGTGCTGCTCAAGCCAGTAACTCCGGAGACCTGCGTGAAACGATCCGAGCGATCATGCGGGAAGAGCTGCGCAAGCTGTTGCCTTCGGCGCAGCCTCAAGTGGATTCGATCGCCGACATTGTGCGAGAAGAAGTTCGGCAATCGCTTCAAATTCCCCACGCACCGCTGCCCGAGCCGGAAGCCATGAGCTACGCCGCTGCACTGCGCCACAACGCTCCTCCCCGTCCACGCCAAAACGCCGCCCCATCGCACTTCCGTCGACAGACGCCACCGCCGCCACCACCCCCACCGACGTCATACCGTTCGCCAGCGGCCCAGCGCAGTGCACCGAGGAAGACTGACGTCTGGCGCACCCCTGACCATCGCCCGCTCTGCTACCACTGCGGCGAGGCCGGACACACATACCGCCGTTGCCAGTACCGACAGATGGGATTGCGTGGCTTCGCCGTCAATGCACCGCGCCCACAGCCAGGAGAACGACCACGTGACATCGCCGACTACCTGACAGGAACTCGGTGGACACCACGAAGCCCTTCGCGTTCGCCGTCGCCCAGCCGCCGCACGTCACCGCACCACCGACAGTACTCTAGCCCAACGCGGGGCCGGTCTCCTAGCCCGTATCCGAGAAACTAAGGGCAGCAACCGGTGGAGGTGCGGTTGCTGTGCGACGAACTACCGAAGATCCTCCGACGACGACGACGCCGCGACGGAGCTTTCCAAACACAACGCCAACCAGGCAAAGCCCTGACGGCGAAAGCTCACTTACCGAAGGTGGCCTGACGACGCAACATGGAAGCAGCGGAACAAGCCGACGCAGCCGTGACCCGACGCCACGCCCTAACTGTAATGCGAGACGGCGAATTAGCGACCTCGACGTTATTATCGACGGCCACAGTGTGACCGCTCTCGTCGATACTGGAGCCGACAATTCTGTCATCAGTGGGTCATTTGCCGCGAAGTTAAAGAAAGTTAGGACAGCTTGGAAAGGCCCTGAAATCCGCACAGCCGGAGGTCATCTCGTAACGCCTGCAGGAATCTGCAGAGCGAGAGTCACCATTAACGGCCGTATTTATCCTACAGACTTCGTAGTCCTACAGCGTTGCTCGAGAGATGTCATCCTTGGCATGGACTTCTTATGCCTCCATGGTACTGTCATCAACCTAAAAACAAAGTCGATAACGTTATCCACAGAAGAAGCACTACCGCCGCGCACGCCGTCTGGACACCATGCCTTGAATGTGCTGGAAGAACAAGTCACCATTCCGCCTCGCTCAAGCGTCATTATTTCAGTCGGCGCTCCTGAATCACCTGACTTTGAAGGCGTCGTTGAAGGCAGTCAGCATCTGTTGGTCACTCGAAATATTTGCGTCGCAAGAGGAATTGCAGCGTTGCGGGGAGGCAAAGCAACGGTTATGCTCACAAATTTCAGCAATGAGTACAAACATGTGAATAAAGGAACAACGGTCGCATACATCGAAGAAATTGTCGAAGCCACCAGTGCTTTCGCCCTCGCCGATTCTGCGGAACCTGCTCAGAGGAACCAAGCCCCTCCCATAGCTTTCGACGTCAATCCCAGACTTGCGAACGGTAAGCAAGAAAAGCTCAACGCCCTGCTCCTGCAATACGAAGATTGCTTTTCGTCGTCATCGAAAATTCGGCAGACCCCAATCACGAAACATCGCATCATAACCGAAGAAAATGCCAGACCACTCTGTCAGAGTCCGTACAGGGTTTCGACGCGAGAACGTGAGGCCATCAAGAGACAAGTTGATGAAATGCTGCGGGATGACATTATCCAGCCATCTAAGAGCCCATGGGCATCCCCCGTGGTGTTAGTGAAGAAAAAGGATGGGACCCTACGTTTCTGCGTCGATTATCGCCGCCTGAACAAAATCACAAGAAAGGACGTGTATCCTCTCCCACGAATAGACGACGCACTTGATCGGCTCCATAACGCCAAGTACTTTTCCGCAATGGACCTCAAGACTGGCTATTGGCAAATCGAAGTCGACGAAAGAGACCGAGAGAAGACGGCGTTTATAACATCGGACGGCCTCTTCGAGTTTAAGGTGATGCCCTTCGGCCTTTGCTCAGCGCCTGCAACTTTTCAACGCGTTATGGATACAGTACTGGCAGGATTGAAGTGGCAGACTTGCCTTGTGTACTTGGACGACGTCGTCGTGTTTTCCTTGAGTTTCGACGAGCATCTTCGGCGCCTTGAAGCTGTACTTCAAGCCATCAAGACTTCCGGACTCACACTGAAGCCAGAAAAGTGCAGATTTGCGTACGAAGAGCTCTTGTTTCTGGGGCACGTTATCAGCAAGTCTGGAGTTCGTCCTGATCCACGGAAAACAGCCACCATCGCCGAATTCCCGCCGCCCACTGACAAGAAAGCCGTGCGCCGATTTCTGGGCCTGTGCGC